ATTTTTGCACATACAGTGCCATTGTTTAATTGCAATTATTAGAAGTATTCCACAATTGATATTGGTGTTAGGAGGGCCTGATTTGTCACTCACTTGTTCAGCCGGGCCTCCATCACAGTCTTCTGCCAGTTTTGTATCCTCTTCTGCTTTTCATCAAGTGCTGCCTGATATGGAGGGGGCAATCCCCCTGGCACCTCACATGTGTCGCCCTCCATCTCGAAAGGCACCACAAGTGTGTGAAACTCAGCCGGGGGCAGCAGGCGGTAGCAGGCAGGGTCTGGGTTGGATGATGCATTGAGTGAGGGGTTTACAATGCCCTCAGTCCCCAGAAACAAGGGTCGATCCCAGGCATTGGGGACTACAGCCAGCCCCACACTGGCCATATGATCCTCCAGGGAGGGGTAGAAAGTGTGGAAAGGCCCCAGTGTAATGTCTGCGTTTCCAGGTAGGAGCAAAGGGCGGGTGGGTGTCAAAGCGTGGATTGTGCAACACAAGGAGGCTCCGATAGCGATCCTGCCGGCCACACACACCACACGCAGGTTCTGGCAGCTGTGGATGTGGACGCTGGTCTCGACAGGACCAAGAACCACTGTGCTGTCGCGGCATTTGTCCACACTGACTGATCTGAGGGAGTACACAGACAAAAACAAAAACCACGTCAGATGAACTGTGTCCCAAAAAGTATATAAAACAACCCATATTAATGGCAGTGAACCTTACCTGAGAGGCGAGAGAAGGTATATGAAGGCATCTGAGCATCTGTGGATTTTGATGTTGGCACCGGTCAGCTTGTCTGAGGTTTTAGCAAGGGTCTGTTTGAAGACTTGCGACATCAGCACCATCTTACTGCCAGGTGGAGCCATGTGGGTGTTTCTTGCTATTTTGGCTCTCTTCATCGAGCCCTCCACTAGAAAGCCCAAACAAAGAGATTGCAGACATTTAGGTAGATGAAGAGTGATGACTGTAAAGAAGCATTTAGGTTTTTAAGAAACTGTATTACAAAACCAACTCCAGGAGATTTTAGAGTACCTTGTTGAGCCCAGGCGAGTTTCTTGCCTGAGCGCAGACAGGCAGACATCCCAAAGGGGTTAAGTGTGAGGCAGTGCTGGAGACACGAGAGCAGCTTGTGCAGGGGGAAGGAGCGGCTGAGTGTGGAGTAGCCAGCTTGTGTCTGGAGTGGACCTTTGGTCAACAGCCTGTGGACAGGCTGAACAGCTCTGCCATGGCAAACCAAGCCCTCCAAGAGCAGGCCCAAGCTCCGCACAGCCTCCAAGGATATCTGGCAAAACACAACTTTAAATATCAACTACAATGCAGCATAAGATGTGAAGGGTAATTTCTTTTTGAGGTTCATTTCTGTCAAAAAGCACAGATTTTATCTGCAGAACATACAGTACCTATTCTGTAAGCAAAGATTAAAAAGTAATATGTGTTAGATGTCACTCCCTAAAGGGGTTCTTATAGTAAAGAATACCACCACCTTACATCTTAAAGCTGCAATAAATTATTTATTTGGGCCACTTTGGAGCAGCAGAAAGAAGTTATTTTAAGTTGATATTGGGAGAAAACAGTTTATTCAGACTTCCAGTTACTGAGCAAAATGACCCTTCATCTGGAGTTCATTCATTCATTATTCATTCTCTTATCCATTTTTGGTCTATACCAACTCTAGAGGGAAATATCTGGCTCTTCAGCTGCTAATGCTCCACTATATTCACTGGCTAGTTTGTAACTGTGTCCGTGTGCTGTTTGCTGCTGAGCAGGTGTACAGTGGGTATTTTATGACTTTTTCTCTGAAAACGATGCGATGAGAGCCGTGACACCTTTTCACATTGCCACTTGTTGTTATTACGAAAATATTGATTATAGCTGCTCAAGGTTTGTTGCGGGAAAGTAACGCAGGATGTGTTCTGACTGTCCACAGACCTGGCAATCTCTAAGGGCTTGTCCAGATTGTGAAAGTTGTCCCGGCTCCACCAGCAGCTCCAGAATCTCAGCTAGATGGATTTGCACAAATGACAGTTGGGCCTGATCATCCCAGTTCTGGAGAACCAAACAAACAAAAACAGGACTGAGTGGCACATCAGGAAGAAGTGAGAGATGACAATAACATTTGAGCTTTAAATTTTATCATGTTGATGTTTTGCAATGGACAACAAGTAGAAATCAGAATTACAGAATCTTGCAAAACATGCAATACTGTTATCAGTCTGTCTTTTGTCCTTTACAGTAACAAGGACCTTGTTCTGAGAGCTAGTCTTTGCTTCTCGGTCTGATGGAGAGGGCGAGCGAGTTCGATGACTGGGCCACTCTTCACCGATTAGAGAGTTGCGCAGGGAAACACGGTTCAGCTGCTGGATGTAGAGGAAGAGGAGGAACTGCAGTGTGTCCACAGACAACTGGAGCGAAAAGAAGAAAAAGAAACAAGGGGTGCATATCAATGTGTAGCTCCTACTGGAATTTGAGAGCATGTAACATTAATCTCGGCCTGGAGCAAAACACAACAATACAATGAGCAGCACACCCTCATGAATAAGACATGATACAAGAAAGTTGTCTGACACGTTGAGATGGTATTACATTCTTCAGTAGGTGGAGCCATTTGCACCACGCCTGTTTTTTTCACCTTGTTCCTTTGTTCGTCCAGCTCACTTTTGGAAGAGCACTGAGAAAGACACTCTGCCCACTCTAGCCTCTCCTCTGGAGTGTGGCCTATAAGAAGGTCAAAGGTCTCAAAGTAGAGCCACGCGAGGTCTTCTGGAAGCTGTAGCTTTCCACAGGCAATATGCCTCCACATGGGCCAGCCCAAAATGGGGAAGCAGCCATCCCGTGTTCGCACATAGATCGCCATCTTGCGAAGATAGTGCAGGCTGAGCTTGGAGGGGGGAGCCACCTGCAATGGCATTAACTTGTTATTTTAGAACATTTGAATCTGCTAGGTAATATCAATACATTTAATAATATTCACCTGCAGGGCACCCATTAAGAAGGGCTCCATGCGTGGCCATATTCTCACACTGTCTGCCTCCATGTCTGAAGAGAATACAAAAAAGTTGTTGGACACATGATACACTGGTATGCAACACAGTATAAAAGATCAATGTAAGCAAGAACAGTACACTTTGTCTACTGAAAGCCAAGTCTTTTCAATCACAGTGCAATTATTGCATTATATTTATGAACACTAAATTTAGAGATGAACTGAGGGGAGGAGCTGCGAGCCAGTTGTAGCCAGGCTTACAAATCACTTTGAAAAGAAGTGTGACTGCATTTCTTAAGGAAGGTTAAAAAGGCTTAATTCCCGTGCCTGGTTCTTGTCAGCTTTTACAGAGAAATAAAAAGTATCCTCACTAGCATGGGTTGTGCACAGCCCAGGACCGGAGGGCTCTGCAGCAGGTGATTAAAACTGCTCAGAAGATCATCGGTACCCATCTCCCAAGGAGCATCACTGATAACGCTGAGGTAACAATAGGGCTAGGCAATAAAACAATAATGATAATTATCGCAATATAATTTTCCTCAATAACAATATAATAAATGTTCTATATATTGTCAATTTGAATCACAAACAAATTAGCACCTAATTGTTCTATTAAAATATTTATTTTTGTTGAAAAAAACCCCTCAGAATTGTGAAGTGATCCACTGTTTGGCATCAAGTGTTTGTCACATTCTGACCCAAAAGAAAAATTTAACCACATAATTAACCATCTGGTTTTTTCAATTTTCATTCAAGAGCAAAAATCTGCCTTTAAACTTGAAAGAAATAATGATTAGACATATATCGTGATAAATATCGAATGATGTTTTTATCTTGATAACATTTTTGGCCATATCACCCAGCCCTAGGTAACAATAATAATAATAATAATAATAAGTCATTTAGCTGACGCTTTTATCCAAAGCGACTTACAATTATTATGTCAGAGGTTTCACGCCTCTGGAACAACTGGGGTTAAGAGTCTTGCTCAGGGACACATTGATGATGTTGCAGTGGGAATCGACACCCGGTCTCCCACACTAGAGGAATGTGTCTTATCCACTGCACCAGAGCCTGCATTGTCCATAGAATCTTAAAGGACAGTAACTCCTTCAGCCACAGCCTGTTCACCCTGCAGCCTTTTGGGAAGAGATGCCGCACCACCACACTGCAAAGTTCTCAGGACCATTATAATCGTATGGTATGGGGCACAAGACCTACTTACTTAAACAGAGGAAGAGCATTCCTCAAAAAGACACCCAGTTTGCTTATGACTTTTGGTTTTTGGTCACTTTACTTTCATCTACCACGGTGGAAAAACATCTCCTGTGACGCTCCCATGACAACTTGCAGCCAGGCTGCTCAAGTCATCAACACCTGACTCTGCATTAAAACATCAAGTGGCTGACTCTTAGCTAAAGCTAATCAAGTCAGACAGCAAATCAATAAGCACAACACTCACTTCTACTTCTTGTGCTGAAACGTGAAAGGCAGCTTGATAGCTGGAAGAATGAGTGAAAGTTTACTTCACCAAACCAAACTATGGCTCTCCTGCTAACTTAGCTACAGTTAGCTCACAATGCTAATAAGGCAGAGGAGACAAGTCTTTACTCTTACTTTCAGCCTTTGTCTTCGTCCTGACAACTTGAAGTTCCCTCTCGACAGGTCAAGTCACTCATACGTGTAAAGGTGAGGCCTGTTGTTGCGATTAGAAGCAGATAAAGTCAGAAACACATCCGCGGTTCTTTACTTGGCGCCCTCTCTCCTCCTCTCCGCCGAACCGACATCTGTTGCGCGCAGTTCTCGGGGACGCGCTTTAGCACCGCGCTGACTGCTGTTTTCACACTTGAAAAGTGCTATTTTTACTGTTATTTAACTAATTTATTCATTCTTGAACACTTTGGAGCAACCCGTTACACATTGAAGCAACGGAAGCTATTTTCAAATTAAGGATGAGAGGTGTTTCTTTAACGGGGGGCGGAGTTTTTGACCTGAGAGGCGGATTCGCCGACGTCCAGAGGGTGGTGCTTTCTCTGACAGGAGGAAGAAGGCTTGTGACTGGCAGCGGCTTCTCCAACCCTCAAAAGCCGGCTGTTCTTTTGCTACTTCCTTTATAAAACAACGGGGGATCTATGGCTGCGAAAGGGATGAATCTCTGCTACGTGTGCTGCCTGCTCCTTTACGTTATCGCGGCGGTGCTTGCGGGGTGAGTTGTGCCCGGAGAATGGCGCGTTGCACGGCCGTGAAGCAGCATCGCCGGGGCGGTACACATGTTCCGCTGTGATTGGTCCAGAGCGGTGTGAAGAGGACAGGATGACACACTGAGCTAATTTGCTAATAAGTGTTTCATTGTGTTCAAATTAGAAATGTGACGGCCTGGTTTTGGAGGAGAAGCTAGCTTAATTAGCCAGAAGCTAGCCTTCACACAAGGGAAACTAAACCGGCTAACACAGCGGTGTTATCAAGCTACAGCGTTTCCTGCCTCTTCCCATGTGCCTCTGTTTTAGTATATAACCTCTGTTACCTCCACTCTCTCTCTCTCGCAGGCGAGATTTCTATGCAATCCTAGGGGTGAGCAAGACTGCATCGATCAGGGACATCAAGAAGGCCTACAGAAAGCTGGCTCTCCAGCTACACCCCGACAGAAACCAGGATGACCCAAAAGCTCAGGACAAATTTGCAGACTTGGGAGCAGCTTATGAGGTTGGTGTAAAGCTATTTTTGTGTGACTGAAGTGGTGGATAAGGGAAGAGGGGCACGGTGAACTTATTTAGCCGCAAATATGGCTGTATTTTAACTTTCAGGACACAGTAACGTAGGTTTTGTTCGTGAATGTGGCTCCGACACAAAGTCTTTTTTTACGCTTAGCTATTTGGTTGTTGTGTGAAACGCAACGGTCCATGTGATTGGTCGACTAGACCGTGTGGCTGCATCTGATTGGCTGTTACGAAGCACAGCTGGCACTCAGGAAACCCAGACGTGGATGAGTGGGAGTGGATTCAGATGAGCAGGTGTTTCCTTATCGCCTTTTCTCATTGCTCCTTTATTTATTTACACTCACTGGCCATTTTATTAGGTAAACCTTGCTAGTTCTCGGTTGGACCCGTTTTGCCTTCAGAACTGCCTTGATTCTTTGAGGCATACTTTCAACAAGGTGTTGGAAACATTCCTCAGAGACTTTGGTCCATATTGACATGATAGCATCTTGCTGCAGATTTGTCGGCTGCACACCCATGATGTGAATCTCCTGTTCCACCACATCCCAAAGGTGCTCTATTAGATTGAGATCTAGTGACTGTGGAGGCCATTGGAGTACAGTGAACTCACTGTCTTGTTCAAGAAATCAGTTTGAGATGATTTGAGCTCGTGACATGGTGCATTGTCCTGCTGGAAGTAGCCATAAGAAGATGGGTACATTGTGGTCATAAAGGGATGGACATGGTCAGCAACAATACTCTAGTAGGCTGTAGTATTTAAAAAATGCTCAGTTGTACAAAGGGGCCCAAAGTTTGCCAAGAAAGTATCCCCCACCATTACACCACTATTAGCCTGAACCGTTAATACAAGGCAGGATGGACCCATGCTTTCATGTTGTTTATGCCACATTCTGACCCTACCATCTCAATGTTGCAGCTGAAATCAAGACTCATCTGACAAGGCAATGTTTTTACAATCTGCTATTGTCCAATTTTGGTGAGCCTGTGTGAATTGTAGCCTCAGTTTCCAGTTCTTAGCTGACAGGAGTGGCCTTCTGTGGTCTTCTGCTGCTGTAGCCCATCTGCTTGAAGATGGGCTACAGCAGCAGATTGTATTCTGCATACCTTCGTTGTAACGACTTATTTGAGTCACTGTTGCCTTTCTATCATCTCGAACCAGTCTGCCCATTCTCCTCTGAACTCTGAAATCAACGAGCTGTTTAATGTGTTTGAGGATGTGTTTTGTAATATTGTTGTATTGGGTTACATTTCTTTGAATGGTGTTTCTGTTATTGGTTACACACACTGTATGAAATAGGAAAACAGTGTAGGATTTGGTCGTTCTGTGACTGACAGGTTGTTTTTATTTGTAGGTGCTCTCAGACGAGGAGAAAAGGAAACAGTATGACGCGTACGGAGAAGATGGACTCAAAGAGGGTCACCACGCCTCACACAACGATATCTTCTCCAGGTTGGTTTCAGATGTGTATATGTGAGGTCATCAAGGTCAGCTCAGAGGGTCACTCCACCCAAAAGGCAAAACAAAAGAAATACTCACTTGATCCTAGGACTGTCCAGCCATGCAGAACATTTGTCCATCTTTTCTTCCTCCACCCAGAAACAGTTTAAAAGAATTTAGTTTGTGGAGCTCACAGCGTTGAAAAATTACATTTAAAAACAGCACTGTGTCTTTGCGGATAATCTACAGACCTCACTGTGAACAGTTTACAAAGGTGCTACTTTTTTATTGAAAGAATTAATTCATAGCAAAACTTTTGAGATAGTGATAACTGAAAATGGGTAAACCAACCTGTCTTTCTGGGATATTTTGCATTACATTGTAGTCAAGTGTTTTTAAAACTGTGTTTAGAGATAATAATAGTTCACTAATGCTAGTCACACTCTCCCCTGTCCCACCCTGTCCTCCTCCTTTTGTAGCTTCTTCGGTGACTTTGGGTTCATGTTTGGAGGCAACAGACAGCAACAGGACAGGAACATCCCCAGAGGAAATGACATCATACTAGACTTGGAGGTTACGCTTGAAGAGGTGTACTCTGGGAACTTTGTCGAGGTAAATGAACAACCTGCACTCACATGTTTTTAAGTTTGTAACCCGATGTGGAATTGGTTACAACTGTGAGTTTGAATGAAAGACTTTGATTTCATAAAGTTGTCTGTTAACTGCAAAATGTGCTGATTCATCGTCTGATTTACACCCTGCCAATATACTTACTTTTTGTTAAATCATCTTTTCTAAAACTTGCTTTGTTGCACAGGTTGTGCGGAACAAGCCTGTAGCCAAAGAAGCCCCCGGCAAGAGGAAGTGTAACTGCAGACAGGAGATGAGGACGACGCAGCTCGGACCTGGCCGCTTCCAGATGACCCAGGAGATGGTGTGCGATGAGTGTCCCAATGTAAAGTAAGTCATTGCTTGTGGTAAAACTCCTACTGTTGTTGCCATCCTCAATAAAGCCAGGAACTCCTGTCAGCAACGTAACAGTAGCGCAGTTCAGTTAAGCCTCCAAAATGACCATTAACAGTGTTAATTCAAAATTATGGTTAGTTTGGAAGATATAGTTTGTTGTGCTGTTGAATTATATCCCGAAAGGTGTTTCTATTATTTTGTCCACCCCTTTTATATCAATGAGGGCAGGCTGAAAACGGAAACACCTCTCTGTATAATTCAACAGCAACACAATGACAGCCTGATCAAACAGTTGAATCAATACGTCTCTGAAACAGTAAACGTTATGACCTTCATGAAGGAGGATTTATTGTAGGACTTTTGTATTGGACTGCATTAGTTTTGGTGAGGTGTCGGTAATAAACTGGCAACTGAGTGTACATCGGACGTGTAATAACATTTAAGAATTTAAAAACCCAATGTCACGAGATGTTTTTTTTTTATTATCTAATCTTAACCACAGGCTGGTAAATGAGGAGCGAACCTTGGAGGTAGAAATTGAACAGGGAGTGAGAGATGAAATGGAGTACCCTTTCATTGGAGAAGGTAAATCCAAGTGAAGTTTGACTATTTTTGTTTTTCAAGTGTTACCTGTTGCTAACGTCTTTTATGTGACCATAGGAGAACCTCACATCGACGGCGAACCTGGAGATCTACGTTTCCGCATCAAAGTGTTGAAGTATGAAAAACCTGTTTTTTCCTGTGTGCCTGTGTTTTGCAATACAACACTATCGCAGATATTAGATTAGTGACAACTGGAACGTGATATGGCGATGCATTGTTTTGTTTTTTCTTTTTAGACATCCTGTGTTTGAACGCAGAGGAGATGACCTGTACACCAACGTCACCATCTCTCTGGTGGAGGCATTAGTCGGCTTTGAAATGGACATTGTACATTTGGATGGACACAAGGTTCTGTACATATTTGGTATTTTTTACAGAGCTGTCTAAAAATTTTTTTCCAGAACTCAGACTATTAAAAGTAGGGAACAGACTTTCGTGGTCTGTATGTCCCAGTTAAATTGAATGTTTGCATGTGTCTTTGCCTGACAGGTCCATATCGAGAGAGATAAGATCACTAAGCCTGGTGCTCGAATGTGGAAGAAAGGAGAGGGCCTGCCAAACTTTGACAATATTAACATCCGAGGTTCCCTCATCATCACCTTCGATGTGGAGTTTCCTCAGACACAGCTGGATGAACAGCAGAAAGATGGTGAGAAGGGAGTGTTAAAGGACGTGCTGTGACATTGGTCCATTGGGGACAATTTACTGAAAGGACAAGTGACTTTACTTTGTGACTTACCTTAGGAAACTCCAACGGTTTGAGAGACGGGCAGAAGCCATTAGTTGCATTGTCATATTTAAAATGTAAGCTGCAGTGATTGTTGCTGACTCATACTGGGGACAAAAAGTCACGATACTTTGTAGTCCACTGTTTCACCAACTGTCATGGAAGTACATTGCTAAATTGCTGGACTAATAATTTAATGTTGCAAATAGTCTTATTTTTAAAAGTATTCTCTTAAATAACAGGCTGTAGCATTGGCGTTTTTAAAAGGATGAAGCAATGGGTGGTTTTTCAAGTCATTAATTTAAATACTGATTTATATTTTAATATTATTAAGTAGTTTCCCAAAGATAAATTGGGATTGCGTGTAGAATATTTTTGTGACATGGTCAGCTTTGATATATATGACAGATATGTTGCTGTTGTTAACGGTTATTATTCTGTCGTTGCAGGTATTCGGAGCCTTCTGAAGCAGGGCTCTGTACAGAAGATTTACAATGGACTACAAGGATACTAACGCACATACAGACACAGCCTGGACTGAGTTATCTCCCACACAAATACACACACATTCACATATCTTCAATCAACAGGACGGTGCTCTGTCATTCTGGCCAGGGCGTATTTATTATTTTCAGATCGTTCTCAGGATGGCTTGAATCCAATTAGTTTTTATTTTTTAATGTTCAGATTGACAGAAGTGGCACAATTGCAGATGTTTTATTTGAAGTGTATAAAATGGACATAATGCTATGTCTTTATTGTACTTTTTTTTTTGTCCTAACAACATTATACTGTAAAAAGGCCCTTATTTTTTTTAATTTTTTTTTTTTTTGTTCATTTAAAAAATCAAATTCACTTGTTTCTGTCTGTTTGGGTGTTATGATCAAACAAACACTGTCTACTAATGTGTCAGCCATTATACCTTTCTGGAGAAGACACTTTGGTTCAGCCCTCTACATCTGCTAAAGGATGAGCCACTGACAAACTGGATATCTGAAGAAGAAGGAAAATCCCCTACCAATTTTCAACTTTTGCAAGAACAGAAGTTGCTTCATTTTGTCCTTTTAGTTAATTAGTTTTATGAATGTAACAGCTTTAGCTGTTGAGGGATGAAATGGTTGGTTGGTGTTTTTTTTGTTCTGGTCTGATTCCTGTTCAATAATACTTTGTAAATAGGGAAGAACAAAGCTCATCTGTTGTGTTTTAGCTTTCCTAATTTATGTTGCCTCTTTCTTGTCTGTTTGCATTTTAAAAGTTGCAACGGAAGAACTGTCGCCATTGCACAACTCCAAAGTTCGCTGTGAGAAGAGTTGACCTCTTAAATTAAACGGTGAAGCTTTATTATAATGGAGGAATGGGGTCAGTTTGCACAGTAGAAAGGTTTTGTTCCAGACACCTCTGACACTCACGCTGTCCGGGCTGAACACTTCCACCTCAAAGGGACTTCACTGAAGGATCAGCATCCCTGTCGGACATTTTTTTGTTCCTGACTGGAAACAGTTTGGTTTATAATGTGGTTTTAGACTTCACCTTCTCTCTTTTACTAGTGTCTGCAACGCTGCCTCCCAATTTTATGAGCGTGTCATGGCCTTAAATGTGATTTCATTGGCCATTTTTACTGGGTGATCTAGGGGATAATGTACTTTTGACCGACGCTATGAATAAAGATTTCTACAAATTCTGATGAAATGAGATGTCATACCGTAAATGTACCAGCAGATGACATCAGAGTGTTTTTAATGGCCATTGGTGAGTAACCCTGACCTCTAAAAAGGAGTCATAAAGCTGCAGTCTGTGGGGTGAGACAGGCCAGGGACTTTACTTGCCCTGTATTAACCCTGAATTTCGCCTTTAAGGTAGTACAATATGGCTACAATTAAATGAAGCCATTGGAGAAAGAACTGCCTGAGATGTCAAACTTGGAGAAAGCCAGTCCTTGGCTGTGCCACAAGTACATCAGGTGTTCCTCACTGGCATTGGGGAACAGGTTTGTTTGTGATTTGAATAACACTACCTACAAATCATAGGCTATATGTTTGTTGAAATAACTTAATATTTTCCATTTGTTTAATTGATTCATAACAATCAGTAAATGTATGTAAGGTTAACAACATAAAGCTTCTTTGTTTGACTTGTCTATATGAGGGTAAATTACTTGATCTTTAATCAAGTTGAAAACCTGCCTCTGTAAGTGTGTGCTCATGTTCCTCAGGATCAATTGTTAGACCTTCAAAGTGAGATTTTTTTTCAAAGGGCTGTTTTAAGGTTAGTAGATTTTTTGATAGGCTAAGATATTTACATTTATTCATTTAGCTGACGCTTTTATCCAAAGCGACTTACAATTGCCATTTATGTCAGAAGTAGCACACCTCTGGAGCAACTAGGGGTTTAGTGTCTTGCTCAGGGACACAATTGTGGATGTTGCAGTGGGGAATTGAACCCGGGTCTCACACCCATTATATACATGTATAATGTAATATAATATGATACAATATATGCAGTATTGACGCTAACACCTTCATTCATTAATTATTTTGACCACCTGGGGGCAGTACAATAAACAGTGACTATATGGACCATTTAAATCACCATTTACACATCCAGCAGAAGCAGAGAAACATAATTTGGAATCAAGTTTCTGGCCACCTGACCGATATGAGATCAATATTCACTCTTCTTTTAGCTCTGCTATGGTCTCCGATAACTACTGAGGGGAATATTTAACTGTGATGATACAACACTCCCAGAGAGTGAACTGAAACAAAGTTGAGGGCCATAAAACCAAAACAGTTTGCCAAACTCTATGGGTTTGGCACTGTTTGTGACTCCTTTCACATTAGCTACACATACTAATTTTCACTAAAATAACAACACTATTAGCTGTCTACCCAGATCCAAACAAGAGACAAAGTTAGCGACTAGCTGGTATTGGAACATTTGACAGTATAAAAATATTGGTCTGGTCGTCTCTGCACATTAGCTTCACAACAGCAACTACAGGGACAACTTGCCAACTTAGAACTGTTCGCTCTCCAGAATCACTTACCCCACCTTTAAGGTTCGGTGTTAGAGAATGCATTATGTCAATAAGGGTCCGCACACATGTACGTGTACAAATGTGTGTGGTCCATGTGATAGTGGAACAGCCCCTGACATGTGACCCTGTGACCCCTCCTTGTGGTTTTACATCTCCGTATGTTTTATACGGCTGCCATCCGAGCACAAGTGCTTCAGTGTCAGAGACATCAGGCGCGACACACACATACACACACACCCCACACCTTGTGGGTGGAGGAACTGTGGGTGAAAGGCTGTTGGGGTGTCTGTCTGCATGGGTGGGGCAGGAGATGTCCTCAGAAACATATTCAGGAAGGTTATAGTGTGGTGAATGGTCTACACATCTGCCCACCAGTGTTCATGCTATAGACTGTGTGTGTATGTGTGTGTGTGATAATCTCCCACAAGGCATACTGCAATATGTGTTTATAAATGTGTGCTCATGTGTCTGTGTATGTGTGTGTGTTCATGTGTGTGGCCAGTCTGTGTGTATAATGGACTCCCACAGAGATAGCAGTGCTGTGGTAAAGGGAGTTTCCTCCCCAGCACACCACACATCCCGTAGTCATTTTCAGACTGAAGAGGCTCCAGGGAGGAGTAGAGGAGCTTTGTGATGCAGCGCATATAAAACATCTCACTGTTTCACCTCAGAGATGAATGCTCCTACACTTCTGCCAGACTTCCCCTGTGCTTATTAATTATTTATCACACAAAAACAGAATGTGTTTCAAGAGATATAGGAAAAATACACGCACATCCCATGCACAGTGATAATAATAATAATAATATTAATAAGGATAATAATAAAATAGGATGGGTCCCAACGTGACTTTTTGAGCACAATGCTCTTTCTCCAACTTTAAGAGATATAGTGCTTTTTTTAACTTTTAGGAAAAAGTTGATCTCAGGGCTGCAAACTGTAAAAAAAAAATTTAAAAATAAAAAAACTGTATATGAGGTGACTGTTTTTGACTCTCTCTGTGAGACGTGGTTCTGGGAAAAGAGGACAGGGTGAATTATGTTGGGGATTTACCAATAGTCCACAAATAATATCTTCTAACCACTTGTAATTGCAATTTGTAGAGCACATGAGGGCAGCATTGCCTCTTCAATCACATCCCTCTCTAAATCACTTTTTATTATCCGTAACATTGACCAGAGGTCTGTGCAGTTTGAGTGTATGTGTGCAGTATGTGTGTGCATGTAGCTGTGTGTGTGTGTGTGTGTGTGTGTGTGTGTGTGTGTTGTGTGCAAGTGAACGCCTGCACTTGCCAGTTGTTGATGCAGATAAGCACAGGGATCACACTTGACCCTGAGTGTAATGACTTATAAGCGTAGCTGCAGGGTTAAAAGAGGCACAGGCTAAAGGAGGGCTAATTGAGCAATCTGTGTGTGTGTGTGTGTGTGTGTGTGTGTGTGTGTGTGTGTGTGTGTGGCGGCACCAGTGTGCGTTTTGACCTGCTCTGACTCGGCAACGTGCTCAGTTAATGGTGCCTGACCTGTCAGACGCAGGAGCAGAACGCAGAAATATTATAGTCATTTCCCAAAAATAAAACTCTTTTGACATCATAATTTTTATTATAATATTTCAAAGCATAAAATTAAATTGCTAGAAAATAGAAACAGAAATCTATAGGGAGATTTAAAGGCCAATCTAAATATTAATGAATATCTCTATTATGATTTGAGGGCAAAACTGCGGTTTGATTGACTTTTGGTTTTCATAGTAAAAATGCACACGAATAGTAAAACTACTGCACTAAAACTGTTCCTTTTAAATACTGATGAGAGGGTGTTTTCTGTAGACATTAAAGTCTAAATCCAAAATGTAATTCAAATCAAGCATGTCTCTGAGATTGTGTACAAATTGTGTACTGAAAGAGCTCTGCACTTATCATCGAGACAATGTGTTTCTTTCCTGCAGATGATTTGTTGCGTAACAATATAATGCTGAGTCTTCTGTTACATTTAAATTCCATAAAAGTCAGAGCAATGAGAATAAGCTTCTATAATAAAAATGAGACCTCTAATAGGGAGACAGGAAAAATATCACCTTCACGAAGTTCTTAAAAATCTCAGAGCAGAGCAGAGCAAAGACTGACAAGTTACCTCCTTCCCTTGGAGCCCCTGCAGAGCTGCAGCAGGGATGAATTCACACAATACACAACAACAACACAATAAAATAATCTGATCGTTTTCAATGTGTGTGTAGTTATTGATGGCGTGACGCACCAACACATGCCAAGGCCAGAGAGGACAGCAGGGGGGGGGGGGGGGAGCACTCTGCCTGAAATAAGAAATGTTGACGGACAAAGCCTACAATTTGTGGGATCTGAGCATAAAGCAAACAAAGGGCAGCTTTTGTAAGGAATAATGCATGTCAGCCGTATCCTTATCCCGCCACAGCTTTGAACGCTGCTGGGGACGTCCATTGCTCCACAGTGTATGTCGTGTTGCTATATTAAAGCCAGTCACCTCAAAGGAAAAAGCCTCAACTATTCAACAATTGAATGGTGGGGCTCTCATTATGGCCAATGTGGGCAGGAAAAAGTGGCTTTGGGGGTTTTCAATTCAGCGGCTTAAAGCCCTCCTGTTAGCTAGGACGAGCTGCTGTTTATCCCAATGCCTTTTCTGGGGACTAAACATAGTCAACTGTCATTATGGATCGCACTCTCTCTCCCTTTTTGTCTTTCTCTCTCTTTCTCTGTCCTCCCCCTCACTAACATTTATTTATTTCTCGCCCATTTTTTTCATCTAATGACCTGTGTTGTGTTGTTGTTTGAAGGGGCTGATTGCTCTTCCACATCCTGAGGAAGAAAAAGGGGTGGCTGGGATTCTGGAGGTCGAGCACAGGACAAGCAGTGCTGCAGACCACCTATATGAATGAAAGCCACAAGTCAGCGTTCAGCATTCCATAGGCAACGTAAAGGCAACGAGGCAGTACTGTACATGACGGTACGTTACAGCAGTCTGTGTATGTATATGACCTCCAGAAATCCTTCATAAAAGAACCACCTTCACAGTTGTCCTTTACAAAAGCATTTTTATTCAGCCCATCAGTGTCAAGGGCTTGGATGGTTGGCAAAGCAGTTTCCCAGCAGTTCCAGGGCCACATGAATAAGGCCATATTAGAGAAACTGTATGCACAGTATACAAAACGATGTAAATATGTATTAGTGGGTGTGGGGGGATCAGTAGGGTACATGGTGGAGTGCAGAGGAGACTGCGAGAGAGGTGAAAGCGGTCTTTGTGTTTAGAGCAGAGCCCTCTGGTGGACCCTCCCCTCTGCGCGGGGTTGCCCAGGCCCTGTGGTGGCGGATCACAGTTAATAACTGTGCGGTGGGCTGTCAGAGGCACTTAGCCTGACGCTGGGCAGGCCGGGCCCGTCTGGGCCCGCATACACAACCGCCTCTGCCTCCTGAGCCTGGACCAAAGCACTCAGCCATGAAGGAGAAGAGACAGAGAGAGAGAGAGAGATGTTGGAGAGGATGGGCACATGAATGAGACAAAACAAACAGGAAAATTACAGAAAAACTTTCACTGAGTGTGGATCCTTTTTGCCATGTCTAATAGACAGGAAGAGGATGGAGACCTGGGACGTTTTCCAGATTGAGCTCCGGTGTCTTCCCTTA